TTATGATAATCCGCAACATTTATTATAAAACGTGACTTGGCACTTATTATATCTTTTTATTATATTTTTAGAATTTTTTAAGTTTTGAATATAAAATTTTTAATATAAACTTTTCATATAAGAATTAGTATTTAGGGTTAAAATTAAGGTTTGAAAAAGATTTTTTGGAATATAAATATTTTTACTTAGAATATTTTGTACTGATTGATTAGCTAGTTTTGGGGATAATATATTTATAAATATAAAATACTATAAGTGTATTTTTAGTAAAATTAAATAAAAATATTAATTAATAATTTGTATATTTATATAATATATAATTTTTATTAATAACAAGAGTCAGTAACTGTTATCAATCTTGAAACTGTCTATTTTCTATATTTAACTTTAACAATATTTTTATTTAAATAAAATATAACATTAAAAGTAATAAAATTAAGACACAAATATACTAAAAAATAATTAAAGATATCAAGAATGCTCTGTTTGTTTAGTAACTAAATATATCAAAAAAAGATAAAATATAATATTTATATTATTGTTGTATTTAATGTTATATTTTTCAAAAAATTAAAATATATTATAATATAAACCAAAGCTTAATTTAATTCTTTAATCCACTTATTTAAAATATTAATATATTTGTGAACATTAAATATCTTAAATATTTTGAATAATTTAAAAAATAATAAATTTAAAAACTTATCAATATTTATAATTCTATAATTTCTTATAATTATAAAATTTCAAATACAAGTCACCCTTGTTAATATCAACCTTATTAATATCAATCTAAGCCAAATAACAAATTTTTATAAATTTTTATATATCAAAATTTCCTCATATATGTTAACTTTAATATGATTTCTCATTATATTACTATCAACATAATTTAAAACCAATTCAAATAAGTTGTTATTAATGAGAGTAATCTGTATTTTAAATAATTTAAATAATAAAATAATATTTTAACAATAATTTTTATAAATCTTTTTTCTTTTTTATTTTAATTATAAACAACTATAATTTATAACTAATAATAAATATATAAATATAACTTGGTTTTTTTAATAGTTTGATATAATAATTTTGAAATAAATATTAAAAAAAATTAACAGACTTATATAAAAAAGAAAAGAAAGAAAAATAAAATAAAATTATTATTAAATTATAATATTATTAATCTGAATTATAATATGTAAAATTATAAATATCTTATAACAATCTATAAAGTTTTATTTTAAAATAAAAATAAAAAAATATATTAAAAGATAATTTAAAAATTTTTAAGTATTTAAATATAATAATATTAATTAAAATATAAAATAACTCAATATTATTGCTTATAGTTAATATATTTAGATATTTATTATTAGAACTTAAAAAAACTTTTTTAAATATTATTATTAATTACAAAAATTTAAAAAGAAAAACAGTATATTTATATTTTTTATTTAAGAAATTGCAAGTAATAAATATAGTATATACAGTATATATATATTTTTTTTTATAATTAAAGTCTCTATCTTTGAGAAGTGATTTTTATTCAAGTTTATAAAACATAGATACTTTTAGAGGTTTTCTTACATTGAAGGTTACAACTAGTTACATGTGCACTTTGGTATTTAATTTTTTTTTTTTTTAATATTAAAGTCCTTATCTTTGGAATATGATATTTTTATTCAAATATATAGGATATGGCATGTCATTAGAGGCTATCTTATATTAAAGGTTACAACTAGTTATATGTGCACTTTTGGTGCCTAATTTAAGTAGTTCACTTATACATTACTATATAAGTTTTACACTAAATACTATATCTGCAAGCCAACTAGAGGTCTTGCCTATTTAAACCTTTGCATATGCAATCTTTTTTGTATTATGAAAACATCTTTAAGATTATATTCATCTAAGTTTTTAATGCTAGTTAGTACTTTTAGGACTACTTTATTCTTAATAGGAAACTTATTAGAGTCTTTATGTCTTATATATATTAACTTAGTTTTATGCAATATGCTATAGTTACTTAATACTTGCAGTTACCTGTTTAACTGCTATATTACATTATTTTTACTCTTGTAAAGTTTACTAGAGCCCCAGTACCTATCTTTTTAGTATCTTTTTTATTATCTTCTACTAGTTGCAACTTAGAACTGGTAGTTTTATTTTAGACTACCAATTCAGATAACCCAGTATAATATACTTCTGTATCTTTTTTCTTCAATAAGTCTGGTAGGCTAGTTGGTTATGTGTTCCTTTATACATATTTGTCATTTGGTTTTAATCTTCAGTTTCTATAAAGATGTTTTATAGGCTTCAACTAGTTTAATAATATTATCAAAAGTTCATGCTACCTTTTTATTTATGAATTTCCAAATAGTTTCTGTTATCTTAATTCCTTAGTATTCTATGTTTGGTGGTCTTATTGTGGATTTGTACTAAAGTTTTATACAATACTAGTTATATATTTGGTATCTAATTTAAATAGTCTGCTTATATATTACTATATAAGTTCTATACTAGGTACTATATCTGCAAGCTAGCTAGAAGTTATGTCTATTTAAACCTTTTGTATATACAATCTATCTTGTATTATAAGAATATTTTTAAAGTGCTACTTATTTAAGTTCTTGATCTTTATTAGTACTCTTAGAACTAGTTTATCTTTGATAAGAAACTTATTAGAGCTTTTATATCTCATATATACTAATCTAGTTTTATGCAATATACTATAGCTATCTAATATTTACAATTACAGAGGTTATCTGTTTAACTGCTACATTATACTATTTCTATTCTTGTAAAGTTCACTAGAACTTCAATATCTTTTTTTTTTAGCATCTGTCTCTTATTTTGAACTTATAAAACTTTCTAAACTATTAAATCAAATAACCTAGTATAGTATTCTAAGATCCTTTTTTTTTAGTAATTTTTAATAGTCTGATTGGTATATGCTCTTTTATATATATTATTATTTAATTCATTCTAACTGTTTTTTTGAACCTATAAAACTTTCTAAACTTTTAATTCAGATAATCTAGTATAGTATTTTAGAATTCTTTTTCTTTAGTGATTCTTGATAGCCTGGTTAATATATGCTGATTAACATATATTGATATTTAATTTATCCTAACTGTTTTTTCTGAAGCTTCTATTAGTTTGGTAATATTATCAAAAGTTCATGCTATCTTTTACTTAAGATTTTTAAGTAAGTTTTTGTAGTTTAGTTTCTTAATATTATATGTCTAATGGTCTTATCATAAGTTTGCACTAAAGTCTTATGCAATACTAATTATTTAATATTCTTATATATATATATAATATTATACTTTGCATAGATGCTTTAAGCTCTTATTCAAGATAGTATTCTTAAGATTACAGATTATTACTTTAATTCAACTGATCAACAAAATACAGTTATTATAACATATATTAATTTTTAAATTTTGTCATAGGTGGGATTTGAAGCTTAGACCTGTCACTTGAAGAATGACAACCTAACTACTACATCAGAATTACTATTCTCTTGTATATATTTTTATATTTTCTAAAAATATTTATTTATTATATATATAATTTTGAAATATTATATATATAATATTATGTTATATATTATACTATATTATATAATTTAATTTAGCATATATAAACCAGAGTGTCTATAGGCACATACCAATTTATGTATACTCACTTTATATAAGTATATTAACATGTATCAGATTTTAGAGTTATATAATAGTTACATGTATATTTATATAATTATATATGCCTATAAATGCTCTATATATAAACTTTTGATATTATGTTATTTTGATTATCTATAAATATCTAAATAGTTGTTCTTTTTTTATTTACAAAAGTGTTAAGTAGTTTTTGCTTTTACAAAAATATTAGATGGCTCTTACTAATTACAAGACATTAGGTGCCTCTTTTTATTTACAAAGTATTTCATTTATGAAGATAGGTGGCTTTTCTTTAGTCAAGATATTGACATATTTTTTTTGAATTGTAGTGTTAATAAAATGACAATCACTAAATTTTTTTAACAGTATTTTTTGTTTTTACAACAATTTTAGGTGTCTTATTGCTCTTCAAAGGCATTATATAGTTCTTTTTTTTCTTACAAAGTGTCTGTTGGTTCATTATACTTTGATCAAAATATTAGTCTTTTTTTTAATTTGCAAATATAGTAAATAGTAGATACTAAATTTCTTTATTATTTTTTACCTTTACAAATACCAGGTATCTTTTCAATTTACAAAAGTATTACATGGCTCTTTATTTTCTTTACAAGGTGTTTAGTAGCTTATTTTGTTTTAGTCAAATATCAGGTAGTTTTTGCTGATAAGATAGTGTTTAATCAAACTTTTAATTAATGGTTTCTTTTTTATGAATATGTTTAAAGGTTCTTTCTGTTATTACAAAGATGTCAGATAGCACTTTTAGCTTTATAAAAATGTTAAGTAATTTCATTGTAGATAGCTTTTTTTTGTCTTAGAAAGGTGTTTGTTATAATTAAAGCATTAGATAATTTTTTGCCTTCATAGATGTGTTTGATAAAATATATTAAACTTCTTTATTAACAGGTTTTCTTACTTTTACAAAGGTGCTAAGCAGCTTTTTGGCTTTTGCATTTTTTGTACTTTTATAAAATTATTAGATAGTTTTCTAATTAAAGCATCAAATTAAAGTGTGGCTTTTTTTGTAATAAAGTGATATAAATATTATGATGTTTATATTTATAAGTAGACATCAACTATTTTATTTTATTGATCTTTAATTTTTTTTTGTAGTTGTTTTCCTGTGCAAATATTACTTTTAGCCTTTCTTCTGATCTTTTTTATTTCAAACAATTATGAGTTATAAAGTTTACTTTCAACTCTGAATATTTTATAAAACATCAAGTCTCAAATTTGTATCCCTCTTCTCAAGAATTTTTAGAATTTGTTTATAAATTAGTGAACCTTTCTTAAGAAGTAATGAATTCTTCTTATAACATAATGAACTCCTATGGATTGGCAAATTCTTTTCAAGAATTAATAGACTCTTCTCAAGAAACATTATGTGATAAAACATATAATAAAATGTGTAATGAAATTCATAATAGAATATATGATAAAGTGCATAATAAAATATATAATAAAGTGCATGATAAAACATATGATAAAGTGCATAAAACCTATAAAAGACAAGATTTGGTTAAAATTAATGGCTTATTACCTCACATTAACAAAGTAATTGTATTTGCTATTAATGATACTTTTCTAACTGGCCAATTGCAAAACATTATATTGCTAAATATGGTCATCAAAAAGGATTTGTACCAATTAAGATATATAATAAAACTAATCATAATAGGCATTTAATAAACCTGTATTATAAGTGTGAATTTAGTAGAATATATCAACTAAAGAAAACTAATAATTTACAAAATCAATATAATAAAGGTTTTAAAAAACTTAACTGTAATTAGAAAGTTTATTTGCTGTTTGCAACTGGTGTAACTTGCATTACTAGTTTTAATGATAACTATATTAAGCATTAACTTTTACCAAATACCAAAATTTTTGCTTCTGTAAATTGTCAATTCTCTAATAATTGTTGTGAAGAAATTTACTATTTAGCAGTAAATAGTTGGTGTAACTTGTTGATAATATGATCTCTTCTATCTGTTAAATATTCTGACCAGATTTTCTTAATATATGATTTTGCAAATATTAAGGCTCAGTTATAATAAGAACATAATGTGAAAGAAAGTGAAGCATTATAGGTTTTTTTTTTTTTTTTTTTGAAATTCCAAAGAGAAACTTTATTAAGTAATAGAAGAATTACATTAAAGATGTCATAGTTACATGCCAAAGCCACCTGAGCCCATGATGCAAGCCTGATTCAAGCCTATAATACAAGCTTAACTCAAGCCTGTAACTCAAGCTTAACTCAAGCTCATGACCTAAGTCTGACCCAAGCCTGTGACCCAGGCCCAATCCAAGCCTATGACTCAAGTCTGTAACTTGAACCTGACTCAAGACTGTGATCCAAGCCTGAAACTCAGATCTGTTACAAACTCAAAACTTTGTGCATATAAGTAATAAAGTAATAAAGTTTTGCATTAATAATGTAGTCATAGCACAGTTGGAAGTAGTAATAAAGCTGTGCATTAATAATATAATAATAGTATAATTAAAATAGTAATAAAGCTGTGCATAAATTATATAGTCATAGTTCTGTAATACTTAAGTAAAAATGCAATAGCTATTAGTAATTGTAATTAAGAAAAAGAGTATAAAAAAAGAAAGCAAAATGTATACTTAGCTTGCTAGTTTGATCAATACAAATTATTTTTTGTACTATACCCAAGCTTATACTGTACCCTGTCTCTTGTTATATCAAATACATTCGAGATGATTCTTGCTTCATGACAGTTTGATCAGACTAAACAACCTGTAGACCCATTGAAAATTATTTATTCCAAACTCGATCAATCAACCAAACTTGTTATTAATTAGCTTACCTTTAATAATAAAACACAAACAGTAAAATACAAAAAAAAAAAACCAATATAATACACATAAATATGAATAGTATCTTTCTTGTATTATAGCAAATTTAACAAAAAAACCAATTCTTGAGACAAGAAAACATGGACTTTTGCAATGAACTCAACCAACTTCAGTTGCAAAAAGAAACTTATAATTACTCAAGAGAGCCAAAAGTTAGCCTACAGATAAGTTTGATAGGACCTGCTCTAGGTTTAGAGGGTTTCTAAACCAAATATGGCTTATTATCTGTTTACAACTTAGCCAATACCCTAATGATAGAACTCAGGTAGGATTGCTTGGCAGTTTACTTGTAGGCCTAGTATTAGCATGCTTTGCCCCACTTCTTAAAAAAGAATCACTGCTGTTAAATGATTTCGATAGGTTTGTTGAGAGTTTGAAGCTATCTTTGAGAACTCAAAGAAGGTCAGAATGGCAGCCAATAGAATCAGAAAACTTACCAAAGGATCCAATTTGGTCTCAAGTTATGCTTTAGAGCTTCGGCAAATCTCTAGTAACCTGGACTAGGAAGAAGCATCATTAATCAATCAATTTTGAATTGGGCTGAAAAGTTATATAAAAGACTTATTACTTATTATAAAAGATCTCACTTCACTGAATAATGTGATTTTCAAAACAGTATATTGTGACAATAGGTTGTTTGAAAGATGTTGAAATGACAAGGCTATACATTAAATCAGGATGACTTAGTAAGTAGTTATGATAAGACTAGCTTGCCACTGAAGCAAATGCAAATCGACTTAACCAGGACTAGAACTCTGACTGAAGAAGAAAAGCAGAGATGACAGACCAATAACCTCTGCCTATATTGTGATGAACCTGGCCATATAGCCAAAAGTTGTTCAAGAAAAGGTATCGCCAATTATAGGATCGTTATCACAGAAGCAATACCAGAAAGGTCAGAAAAAGGAAAGCCCTAGCTGCAGTAAGGAGGTTGTAGTTAGATAATACTTGTAAGTTAAACCCTGAAAAAACCAATCCCTACATTTTAATAGATACTTTCAATATACTTGTGTTGGTACAACTTTCAAACAAATCCATGCTGTCCATTAATGCATTAATAGACTCAGATGCTTCTGCTTGCTTTCATGACTATACATTAGCACATGAATACAACCTACCTGTAAAAAGAAAGAATACATCACTATCAGTAGAAGTGATTGACAGTCAGGAAATATTATCTGGAGCAGACTTATATGAGACCAAGCTATTGCTACTATGCTACCAAAACCATTGCAAAGAAATGTCATTCAACCTGATCCAAATATCATACTATCAGCTATCCTAGAGTTATTATAGTTAGTCCTTTACAATCCTAACATTAATTGGTGTAATTGAACTTTGCAATTTCTGGATAAGGAATGTAGTGCACACTGTTGGTATTCATTCACAATGCACCTAGCAACCAATGTCAGTATATCAGAAAGAGTCTTTTGGACTCAAATTTTTCATGTAGCCTCTGTAAACAGAAATGAGAAAACAGCTACACTGACACTTTCAATAAAATATAATAACTTTAGTAATGTATTAGATGAAAAAGAGGCAGATAGATTATCAGAGCATAGGCCTTATGACTGTGCAATAGACTTAGCACCAGGGAAACAGCTTCTGTGACAGCCTATATATGAACTATCAGTATTAGAGTTGGAAATGCTAAAGAAGTATACAGAAGAAAACCTAGACAAGGGATATATCAGGCACTCTAGGTCTTTTGCAAGAGCCTCTATATTGTTTGTTAAAAAAAAGAATAGGTCTCTAAGGCTATGTGTAGACTATCATGGGTTAAACCAAGTTACTATAAAAAATCATTACCCACTTTCTCTTATTTTAGAGTTACTACATCATTTATCTTCAGCTCGAATCTTTACCAAAATAGACCTAAGAGGTGTCTACAATCTAGTTAGAATAAAGCCAGATGATGAATAGAAAACTATATTTTGGACTCGTTACAGTCTTTTTGAGTATTTAGTAATGCCTTTTGGGCTTACAAATGCCCCAGTGGTCTTCAACATCTGATGAATGACATGTTTAGAAAGTGGTTAGATAGATTTGTTATTGTATATCTGAATGATGTTCTAATATATTCAGCAACACTTAAAGAACATACCCAACATGTAAAGCTAGTTCTAGAGTGGCTCTGTCATTTCAGCCTGTATGCAAAACTGAAGAAGTGTGAATTTGATAAAGATTGTGTTGAATTCTTGAAGTACACCATTAGGTCCACAGAGATAAAAATGGACAAAAAAAAGGTTAATAGCTTACTCTCTTGGCCCATACCCACAACACTTAGAGAAATACAGCAGTTTCTTGAGTTTGCTAATTATTACTGTCACTTTATAAAAAACTATTCTCAAGTGGCCACACCTCTTACAAATCTAATTTAGAAATCAAATGAAGGCTTCAAATAGACTGAAAAAGCACAAAGAGTGTTTAAGAGATTAAAGAAAGCTTTTATATTAGCCCCAATTCTGGTGCACATGGATCTTAGAAAATAATTTTTTCTAGAAACTGATACATCAGATTATGCATTAGGAGCCATACTGTCCCAGCCACAAAAGAATGGTTACCTGCACCCAGTTGCATATTACTCTTGCAAGTTTTCACCTGCAGAAATAAACTATGATGTCCACAACAAGAAGCTTCTGGCTATTGTAACTGCCTTTAAACAATGGCATTATTATCTAGAAGGGGTCCAACATAAGGTCATCATCTATTGTGATTATAAAAACCTGCAATATTTTACCTCTGACTGACTTCTCAATTGTCATCAGGCATGCTGGTTACAATACTTATCCAACTACAAGTTTGAGATCCTGTTCTATCTGAAAAAGTACCAAGGCAAATCAGATGCATTGTCCTGCAGACCTGACTATAAAACTCCTCAATACAACCTTAATTCTTACCAAACAGTACTATTAAAACAAAAAGGAATTCACCTGAATGCTATTTCAATAGCATCTTTAGACCACACTTTCTTACAACATGTCAAATTCTAGTTGGAGACAGATCCACCCATCTTGGATGTCATAAGCTACCTAAACACTACCAACACAACTGACAACAGCCCTTGTTCCAACTATCATAAATTTTTATATAAAGATAGGTTGCTCTTTAGAGAAGGATTATTATATGTACTTTGCATGGCAGAAAAGCTTGAGATACTACAGGCTTGATACAACTCTAAACTAGTTAGGCATTTTAAAATAGTTAAAACTATCAAATTAGTAACCAGAGACTACTAGTAGCCTAATCTTCAATCTTTTATGTAAAAATATTTCAGAATATGTAGCACATGTGCTAGATCAAAGATACTAAGACACTACCCATATGGGTTGTTGATGCCTCTGCCTATTCTGTCATACTAGTAGCAATCCATATCTATAAATTATATAACTAACCTATCTACATTCTCAGATTTTAACTCTATTCTAGTGATGGTAGACCATTTGATAAAAATGACATATTTTATCACCTGTTATAAGAATATTACCACTGAACAAATCACTTAGTTAATAATTCAGGAAGTAATCTACTTACATAAGATATCTGAAGAAATTGTGTCAAATAGAGGTTCACAATTCATCTTCCAGTTTTGGAAACAACTCTTTAAACTCCTGGGAACGAAAATTAATTTATCATTAACATACTACTTACAGTCAGACAGGCAGAATGAAAGGGTTAATCAAATCTTGAAGCAATATCTAAGATGTGTCATAAATTACCAACAAGATGATTGGGCCTACCTCCTACCAATAGCAGAATTCTTATACAATAACTCTATGCATTCATTAACAAAAACTACACTATTTTTTGCTAATTACAGGCTCAACCCATAATTTGATGTTCAAGCACTTTTCTGTTTAACTGTACCATCTGCTAAAGAAAAGGCAGCTCAACTATAACAAATAAAAAAAGAACTTATACAAGAATTGAAAGCCACACAAAGATGCCACAAACAATATGCTAATCAGTAACATCAGGAACCATCTATATTAAAAATTGGCAATTAAGTTTGGTTATTAAGAAGAAATATATATACACAACACCTATTAGAGAAATTAGATCACCAAAAGATAGGGCCATATAAGATCATCTCTCAAATAAATCTAGTAATATACTGCCTAGACTTGCCTCCTTCTCTCAAGATCCACAATGTGTTCTATGTATCTCTCCTAGAATTATATAAGACAAATGACATCCTTGGTAGATGCAAGAAGCCACCCTCTCCAGTAATAATAGATGGTGAAATGGAATACAAGGTGGAAAAAATACTTGACTCGAAGCTAATCTGGAAGAAGTTATATTACCTGGTCAAATAGAAAAATTGTGACCCAAATGAAAATTCATAGGAGCCTGTAGATAATGTCATACATGCCAAGAAGGATGTAAAAACTTTCATCAGCTGTACCCATACAAGCCTGGGTCAGAGTTAACTTTGATGAACCTAAAGCAAAGAAGAAAGAGAAAATAAAGCATTAAGGGGAAGATAATGTCATGGTTATGTGCCAAAGCCACCTGAGCTCATGATGCAAATCTAACTTAAGCCTATGACACAAGCCTAACTCAAGCCTGTAACTCAAGCTTAACTCAAGCTTAACTCAAGCCTGTGACCTAAGTTTAACCCAAGCTCATGACCTAGGTCTGACCCAAGCCCATGACCAAAACCTGTAACTCAAGCCCAACCCAAGACTATGATTCAAGTCTGAAACTCAGATCTGTTACAAACTCAAGACCTTGTGCACATAAGTAATAAAGTAATAAAGTCTTGCATTAATAATATAGTTATAGCACAGTTGGAAATAATAATAAAGCTATACATTAATAATATAATAATAGTGTAATTAAAATAGTAATAAAACTATACATAAATTATGTAGTCATAGTTCTGTAATATCTAAGTAAAAATGCAATAACTATTAGTAATAGTAATTAAGAAAAAGGATATAAAAAAAAAAAGTGTAATGTATACTTAGCTCACTAGTCTGATCAATACAAATTATTTCTTGTGCTATGCCCAAGCTTATACTGTGTCTTGTCTTTTGTTATATCGAATATGTTCGAGGTAATCTTTGCTTCATAACAAAAGATTTCTAAACTACATTTGTGCTACTTATTTTAAGATATCCAATGTGTCATTACACTACTATTTCTATATAACACTATTATTAATTATTTCAAATTAATTTTAAATATAGAAAAGTTGGAGAAAATTAAAATAATAGTTTTGGCATTTAGTAAATATAGTTAGTAAGTGAATAGCCTAAGAATAGCTAGTTTTTAATAGACATATTGGGTTAATAGTAGATATATTTGAGGTATTAGATGTTGATTAAAAGGTGAAAATTAAAGAATAGATTTTTGAACATTTGGATTTGTTAGTTATATTGTGAGCTTTTTCTCATTATTGTTAAAGAATGTTATATAGTAGCCATATTTGTTGATAAAACTAATTAAAAGAAGCATTGGATAAGGTTGTAAGAAAAGGAAATATTGTTTTATAAAGGAATATTTTTTAATATTGTCATATAGAGATATTAAGTAAAGATTTTGAATAAGATTTAAAAAGTAAAAATATAGTAATGTATTAAGATAGTAAAGTAATGTAATATGAATAGTATTTGTAATTTCAGCAGAGATATTTAATTGTTAGATAATATTTGTAATTAAGCTATACAGAATTTATTGAAGGTTGAATTTTTGTTTAGATCAAGTTAATAAATGAAGTATATTATCAGTTAATTGACAATAAATACAATTTGTAGTATATAATAAGAGATAGTATATGTTAAGATTTTGCATAGTTGGTAAGTTGTTATTGATTATTATTAGTTAAAATAAATAGAATTTTTGATTATTATTAAGTAAATTAATAATAATAAGAGTGGTAGACTATTTAATAGAGAGTGGATTTTAAAAATATTTAAGTTGTGATCAGTAAAGTAGACAGGTTGTCAACTTTTAAGTGACAGGTCTAGAGTTCAAATTCTATAAACAATAAATTTTGAAATTTATATTTGTATTATAATAACTGTCTCTGTCAATTAGTTAGATTGGCATATTTGTAATCTTTAGTTGCATTATCTCAAATAGAAGCTTGAAGCATCTATATAAAATGTAATATTACACCTATATAGAGGAATGTTAATAACTAGTATTATATAAGACTTTAGTGCAAACTTATGATAAGATCATCAAACACAAAAAGTAAAGAAACTGAAGAGTTAGAAACCCACTTGGAAATCTTAACTAAGAAGGTAGTACAAAACTTTTAATATTGAACTGATAGAGCTTATAAAACATCTTTAAAGAAATAAGTAGATAAACCAGATAGCAAGATGTATAGAGAAGCACATAACCAACTAGGCCACTAAAATTACTAGAGAAAAATGATACTAAGGTATACTATACTGGACTATCTGAATTAGAAGTCTGGAAAGTTCTTTTAGTTTTAAGTAGCAGTTAGTAGAAGATGATAAAAAAGATGTTGGAAAGATAGATATCAAATTTTTGAATAAATCTTATAAGGGTATAGTAATTTAATGATTAAATCTAACTGCAAGTAATAGTTTATACCAAAGCAATACTGGATCAGTTATAAGTATAAAATACAGAAG